GAGAGACAATGGAGGCTCAAAAAGACTCAAGCAGCTTGACCAATGAGACACACACAAAACAACACGCAGATACGCACGCACACTCACAGGTACACTGCAAGTCAGTGTGGGGTTGAGTCTTAGAACCAGGCTTCCTGCCTTGAGTCTGGTGCTCATCCCCACCGCCCTAAATGCCCAGGTGTCCATGGTGTAGGGCACTGTCGAGTGGGACCCTGCAGGACCACCTGTGGTGGCTGTTTCCTTTCTTCTTCATGGAGGACATTTGCTTCTGGGGAGTATTGCACTCTGAATCCAAGGAATTTAAAGTGCTGGTAGGGGATAAGCAGGACTCTAGACAAAGTGAAGGAAGTAGCCTGAATTTGCTTCCCCTTTTAGACCCTTTCTAACCCTTCCTTTCCTCGGCATTTCACCCTACCTCCTGGTCCCTAAGAAAATCTCTGCATTCCTTCACTTGCCTACTCTAAGGCATAAATGACTGATAACAGTTTAAAGAGTTACCCCTCCAAACTTTATAGCCCACCTTACAATTGTGTGGTCTATGCCTCAACTTACAGACAGGCACATTCAAATGCATTGTCTCCAGGAGGAAAGTACAAATTTTTAACAACCAGTGTAGCATAGACAGATGACCAATGGGAACAAACACCAGCCATAGCGCTAAGTGGGTCATGAAGCCTCCCTCACCCCTCCATAGTGCCAGGCATTCCCCACAGCTGCTGATCCATGGGGAGGTCTGCACGAGTCCCCGGGGAGGGGCTAGGCAACCAGGGCCAGGTGTGGGGTGGGGGTGGGGGGCGCTTCAGGGAGCTCTGGGCATTGGCCATTACAGCCAGTGTGGAAGCATTCTGACATTTTCACACATGCGCCGCCATACTGGTGTGTACCAGTTACATGTTGATGCTAATTATTTCATTTCTTCTTTTCTAGGACATTTGGAGGAAGATACTACATTTTCTTTTCAACTTCTGAGACAACTGAGTCTCCACGAGGTTCAACAGCTTCTCAAGCTCTTGTAGCCGGTGAGTTTCTGGTAGTCGGGGAAGTTCAGAGCAAGGAGTTCCCAAGATGAGGGGCCCTTCGTGAGACAGAGGAGGTGGAGGCCCTGTGTGGGCAGAGGACACCGTGAGGGCTCAGGCCCCACCGGGGGTCAAGGAGCAGGGTGTGGGGAAATGAACAGAAAGAAAAGGGGTGTGTGTGTGTGTGTGTGTTTATGCTGACTGGGAAGATGGCAGGGACCAGGGGTGGGTGGACACTGAGAACAAGCCTGCCCTCAATGCAGTTTTGCTGTGGCCAGAACTGGTCCTGAGCGAAACAAAGAAGTCATTTCCATTGTTTGCTTTGCCTCTTGCCCTATATCTGAATGTTGTCACCCAGAGAATGTGATCACACTTGAAAACTGGCTGTGGCATTTGATTTTAGAAATAGCTGTGTCTTCGCTCCGCTACTGGCAGCCCGGGTTCGGATCTGGGCGCGCACAAACGCACCACTTGTCGGGCCATACTGAGGCAGCGTCCTACATACAGCAACTAGAAGGATGTGCAACTATGACATACAACTATCTACTGGGGCTTTGGGGAGAAAAAGGGAAAAAAAGGAGGAGGATTGGCAATAGACGTTAGCTCAGGGCTGATCTTCCTCACAAAAAAAAAAAAAAGAAATAGCTGCATCTTGTTCATCAGGGGCTGCTGATTAACTCCTGATGTCCCCCTGCCCAACCCCCCACACAATTGCTGGGCTGGGTAGAATCTGAGCCATGAAATCCCATGTGAGCAAAGGCCGGTTGATGTTGAAGGGGGGGCCTCTCCCTGAAGAGTGTTGGCTCAGGTGGTCAAAGAGTTGGAAACTCAATTTGCTCTTCTGTGGATGGAGTCCGAAACACTGGTCGGCATTCGCCCAGAATTCCAGGTACCCCCTCCTTATTTGGGCCTGGGCAGGATCTAGACCCCTCCGTCCTTCCCGGAGATGCACAGGCCCCTCTGAGGCCGACAGGCAAAGGCCTGGCTGCTTGCCCCTGGGAAGAGAGTTTAGCCTCATGGCCACCGGTGCTCCAAAGGGCCAGCCCAGGGCTTGAGACTTCCGAGGTCTCCAGGAACGTGAGGGGTGTGGGAAGGGCCTATAACATGAGACGATGTGAGCCTCTCTACTTGGGTCCCCCACAGACCCCAACAAGGGGCTAGGATCCAGGTGGGCACAGGCCCAGCCGCCCTGTCAATGAACGAGCCACGTGTCAGGTTCCTTCTGCTGCCACTCTCTTGGCAGCACACACCTTTTCCCAACCTACAACCTCTCTCCCAACAAAGGATATTAATAGGTGTGAGTCTTGTCTCACGTCCAAAGTGACCAAAAAAAATTTTTTCCTAGGCACGTGGCCTGGTCTGCAGAATGAGCTCTCCCTCCCAGTGCGCTGTGGCAATGCATTCACCACAAACCTCCCAACAGAGGCTGACATTCTTATAAGAAATTAAAAACAAAATGCAATTCTAATCCTTAGGAGAGTCATCTTTTTGTCTGTGTTTTTCCTTGCTTGTCTCTAGGTCTCTGCCAATTTCGAGTCAGAGACAATATGTCACATGATTCCTTTTAAAGTTGGGCTCTGGCTGCCACTGCTTTTCCTGCCCACTGCCCATCTGCCTGCTCTGAAGGCAGCCCAAGGATTGGGCAGGGTGGGGGGACTGCCACAGGGAGCACACAGTAAGAACTGAAATATTTGACTGGACTTGGTCCTAACAGAGGCGAGTTTATTACCCTAAATGTCCTGGAAACCTTGTTGCCTCTGGCTCGAGAAAACTCCAGTCTCCGTCATTCCCGGACAGCCGTCTGCAGCCAGCCTTTGGCGTCCCTCTGCAAGTGGCTGTAACGTGAGTCACGGGGGCAGTCTCCAGCGAGGCTGAACATGAGGTGGGTACAGAGGAGAAAGGCTGTGCCTACCCCTGCCCTGGGGGTGAGAAGCCAGCAGGCTGGGCATGGCCAATGGGCCCCCTGGGGTTTGTGGTGAGGCCAGAGGGGTCAGCATAAACAGGGAGGAGGGGGAGCTCAGAGAGGACAGATCATGCCAGGCCAGGCCCTGTCAGAAATGGCCCTGGTGTGGAATGCTGGGCAAGACCCATAATATCAAAACCAGATATTGCCTTAGGATGGAAAGAACATGCTGGGTTCTTTCTCACAATCCTTTTCATTTAGGTAAAGGAGCAATGAGGTCCAGATGCATAATTCTTTCCCTTTGTGAAAGCCTTCTCTCATTCAATGAGGGAGCCTCAGTCATACTCTTGTGGCGGTTTATTAATGTCACAAACAAAGCACACTTTATTTTTATTTGAATTGGCCAAATAAAATGTTCTATACAAAGCAAACACTTCATCATGAAATATTTAAATTAAAAATAAATTAGTTCCATCCTACAGAAATCTCCAGCTGCCACATACAAATAGAGTACATCAGTTATAAATTAAATAAGTTAAAATAAATAATCTTAGGATACTCTGACAGGTCCAGCATATATCACCTGTTTGCTCCCTAACTTTGTTCCAGGCCCTGTTATCTATACTGTGTAACACTAATAGACTGTCCATCGAGACGAGGCACTCATTGAAAGAACATTTGATGCCCAAGTCTCCAAATCATGTTCCGATGAGAGGATTGGGTGTTCAGAGTCTAAAACAACACTTGAAGGACAGAGATCAGCAGGGTGAAACCGTAGAAGCCCAGGCCTCTTATCCCACCTTCTTATGTTCACCTGGAGATACGGAAATAGGTAACTTAGCAAAAAGCAACACGTGGCCACAGAGCAGCAGCATAGGAATAAAAGCTGAGTCTGAGACCAGTAATGTGGCCAAATTCTTCTTTGTACCAAGACATGGCAATTTCCAACATAGGCCTAGACTAAATTTCACCATGGAGTCTCTAGTTTCATTAAATGAGTTGGATTAATTTAAGCTTCTGAATTAGAAAACAAGCCTTCTGGGGGCAGAATTGAAACTACAGATGATAAATACACAGGCATATGGCACTAATCCCCTCCACAGGCAGGCATTAGTAATCGTCACTGCACGCCTTTATCTCAGATCTCATTGCCACACAGTACTCTAGGCAGCCTCTGCCAAGCAACTATGTTTGGTATTTGACATGAAAATATTTCCTAACCTTGATCTTCTCTATATACTGAGCTATTCTGTTGTAAGAGTAGATATAACACAGGCACTGAAGCCTGACACCCATGTAGGTTGTGTGACTTCAGACTAAACATTTAACCACTTTCAACTGTTGTCTATTAAATGGATAAGGCCTCCTAACTCAGAGTTGTTAGAAAGATTGGGATAATGTAGGTAAAGTGCTCAGTGTCACACCTGGCACACAGTAGCATTTAAAAAACAAAAGCTATCACTATCATATTATCATTTTAAAACTACTCATGTTGACAATGGAATTGATGACATTTCCATCAAAAGAAGGAAAACATAATATTATATATTAGACTGAACTACATGAAATTGATAAGCAATTGTTTTTGATCTACCAAAGTGGCAATTTCTTCTGGTTCAACCTAATACATAATGATGCATTTCATTCAAGTCACTTACATGTTCCAACTTTATCAAATTCTTCACTTCAAAGGTTGCCCCCAGAGACATACCCCCACCCCTCAAAACCTTCCTCAAATCATTGCTAGAGTAAGCAAAGCAAGGAGTCTGGTGGAGAAGTTGAGGACCTGGTATCTCGTTCCACTATCTGGTATGTAGTCACATGGCCTCTTAAAGCCTTGGTTTCTCCATCTGAAGATTGGGAATAATTGTGCTTTCTTTAACAGGGATTTTGTGAAAATAAGAGAAAATGGATGCGAAAGCACTTTTCAAAGTTAAAATCATTATACCAAAGCAAGGTATTATTAATTCCACTAGACTATGCCACTTTAGAAAACATTAGCATTCAACATTTAATTTTTAATCATGTTTTTCTATAGAAAATCATATAAAAGAATACAGAATTCATGCAGTCATGCCAAATGATCATCAAAACCAACCTTGACAATATTCTCAAGTGGATATTAGAACTACTAAGTAAACATGTAGTGCTTTGTCATTAAAAACCGTACCTCCTCAAGATGAAATAAATTGTGATAGAATAGTATCAAACATCAAGCTCTTACATTTACACCAGAAATCACACACGTTAGAAGGACTCACAAGGAAGACTGAAGAATTGCCTGCTTCCTTCCTTGGAGGTCTTTAAAATGGGTAAAGTTTGATTTTGGTGTGGTTTTGCTTAAAGATAGGGAGATAAACTTTATGACTCCCGCAAGTCATTTTCAGACCAGGGGCTTTATCGATTCTAAGAAGGAATAGTTTTCTTTTGCCTTCGAGGGAAGTTCCTTTCCTGCATCCTAAGCCAGGGCAATCAGTTAGTAAGGGAGGATAATATGTTTGGACCAGCTACTAACAGAAGCGAATGTGGCTCAGTTCCAATCTGGAAGTTTTCTCCCCTTGTGCAGTGAACTTTGGCCAACGCTGGGCAGCTGGGGAGGGTCACCTTTAGTCGGCCTCAAAGGCGCTGTTGGTAGCTCCCACATATTCTGACTTCTTCTTGTGCCTCGTCCACATTTTCCGGAGGATGCTAGGGACGCCGCAGGAGGTACTTCCTGTCAGCGGTAGGGAGGCTTCTGCTCCCTGGGGAAGGGTTGGATACTCTTCAGTCATCTTCTTGAGATGTCTAGATCTAGAGAAAAGCGAGGGGTGGGTGGGGAGGGCAGTCACTTCACTGAGACAAACTTTTAATTTTTGCCCTTGAGAAGAGTAGCCAGACCTCTCGCTCTTCCTCTGCCCACACACCCTGTGACCAGGATGGAGGGTCACTGTTGGGACCTACTCGGGAATGACTTCCCCTGGGGGATCCTCACATGGGCGAGGGAAGGAGGTGGCCCTGGGCACACTGGTTCATGGATCTCAAGTTCTGCTCTTGTCCCAAGTTCTACTTTCCCACCCCTCCCACCTCTACACGAACAATCTTGCTGGGGAGGGCAGATGTCCCAAAGCATCAGCCATTGAAAGAGCATGAGCTCTGGGACTGAATCCTGCTCCCTGCTTACTGTGTGACCTCAGCAAGTGACTTAATCTCGATCAGCCTCAGTTTCTTCATGTGCAAAAGGAGGATAATTTCAACTAGCTCATGGGGCTTTTGTGAGGAAAATAAGATAATAAAGCATCCAGCACATTGTAGACCTTAATAAATGTTCATTTTTCTCATTAGCTCCCTACGTGAAAGAGATGGCCTTCCTTTTCTTTTCAACAGCCAGGGTCCAGGAACAAATTGAAATGAGAACGTCTCAGTTTAGAGACAGAGCAGCCATTCAGAACCCTTTGCAACACAGCGATGTGGATTGGAAAGGTGGACCTCTATTGAGGCATAGTAAGTTTTTACTGGCTTACTCAGCAGTCAGCAACAGCTATTGCTGCTCAGAACAATTTGCCACTAGAACTTAATACAACCTAAGCGATTTTCTTACTTTTCTCCAATTAGGTTCTAATACGTTGAGTGACTTGGTTTTTACATTTCTTTCTACATGACCTTCTTTCACCTAGAAGGGCTTCACACTGGTCTGTTCCTCCTGGGGCTCCCACAGCTTTCAAGGTGTGCACCACTCAGGTTGATGTTTTAGACCACGGTCCCTCATTCGTGAGCATCTAATATGTCCCCAGGTAGTGTCTTTCCAACTACTAGATTGTAAGTTTCTTGAAAAATGATAGCAACAGTTAGTGCTAAGCTCCTCACACACGACCTCATTCAACTCACACAATAAGCCCTCAAGAGGGGTACTATTATCATCCTCATTTTTTTTGTTTTGTTTTTAAATAAATGAGGACATGAAGGTCTGAAAAACTTGCCTGAAGTCATAGCAAGCCAGTGGCAGTGCTGGGCCAGCAAAAGATCTGAGTCACGAGTCCACAGCCTTCCCCACCCCCAACCACTTTCCTGCTCCCTGCAGTACGGAGGGTAGTGGCGGGGGCATAAACATACATGCTGAATTGAGTCTGAGACTCTTGCCTGCCATCTTTTAGTGTGACATGGAAGGCAGTGAGGGGGTTGCTGGGGGATCATGCACTCCTGCTACTTTAGCTGCTGGTTCTGGATCAGAGTGAACAGTAACATGGGGGTTATAAATCTGGTTTGAAACCTTTGTATCTTAAGCACTTCCTTACCTTTGGGCAGGGGTCCCTAACCTAATACATGAGACATTTCTGACACCAGTGTGGGAGGCTCTGAATATGGCCTGTGATTACATTTATCTAATTAACCAAAACCCCTCCCAAATGACACTTCTCCAAGTCTAAAGAGTGGCGTTAATGAAGTGGAAACCATCAAAAACACTTCAGCTTAATCCTAGGGAAACAGTTGACGAGGCGCTACCGAGACCCAGGATTATTGCCCTCATTAAAAGGTAATTTACCACTGGCATGGATTTTATTTTAGTGTCTTGAGAGTCTGCAGACTAGGCCACCTGTTACTCCTCTGCCACTGGACCAGAGCGGGTGGGGACCCCTGGGGGGCTGGGGGCCCAGCACTTACCCTCTTGTCAGAACAGCTCCATTCTCTGAGCCCGGGGCTGCCACCTCCAGGACAGTGGGGGCTTTCACAGAGATCCGGGCCACCGGAGCAATCTGGGTGGTGAGGAATGGGAAGGGAATGTGAGATGTGGCCGTGTTCCCAACTCTGGCACTGACGCGAACCATTTGCAAGGGGGATGGCTAAAACCGAACCACCACCAACCTAGGGCAATAGTCCTCACACTTCTGTGGGCATCAGACTCCTCTAGAGGGCTTGTTAACAGAGCGCTAGACCCACCCCAGCTTCTGATGCAGTAGGTCTGGTGGGGCCTGAGAACTTGCATTTCTAACAAGTTCCCAGGTGCTGCTAGTCCTGGAACCCCTCTAAGAACCACCGACCTAGAGAAACTCGACAGAGAACAACTCAGTCTTACCTGAGAACACACCCCCACTGCCTGTGTCCACTTTGTCGTCAAATCCTGCAGATTCTTGCTTTGAAATACTGCCTAGATCAGTGCCATCCTCTCCATTTCCGCTGCTGCAGCCTTCAGGGCCAGCCGCCCGGACCTCCTTGTTTCTCACCAGACCCGCCACATTCCCCAGGCCCCTCCTGGACTCTGGAACCGCAGGGCCTCCCCACTGCAGGGTGGACTGAGGCCGACTCTGCAGCCTGCACTTCAAGGCTGCTCAAAAGCGGACTCTCCCTTATCTATACAGCTCTGCCTCCCGTTGTCCCCCACAGGCACCGACAGTGCCAGCCCCAGCAGGCCTGGTCCTGCCTTTCCTAATGCTCACGCACAACTCTGCATCTTTACTCGGCTTTTCCCTCACTCTCTGCATCGAGCCTCTTCTCTGCTTGCCTTTCAAGGCCACTTCCTCCAGGAAGGCTTCCCTCAGGCTGGTGGCCCAAGTTGATTTTTCTCTGTCTTCATGTCCCCACTGGACTGAGTACCTATGTGACATGCCTCCAGTTCTTTTTTTGGTTCTCTACTTGTTTCATATGTTTGTCCAGTCTCCCAGTCCCCAGAAAGGCCACGTGGCGTGTGGCAGGGACTGGGATTAACCCCTTTGGTGGCCCTTCTCAGCTCTCCTAAGGGAGGTGGTGAGTACTTAAGAAGCATGTGCTGAATTGAAAAGTAACTGACGGCCTAATCAGGGCTAAGTCCAGAGTGTGCTTAGTCCATGGACATGCTTTGTTTCTCCACCCCAAGCCCCACGGAGGGCTTAAGGTCACCACATTCCTGGAATTGCTGGGAAATTCCAGGTCAAGGACACGGTGATTCACCGCCCCCTTCTCTCCCGAACTGGCCAAATGTTGCGGGCAGAGCTACTGTGCCACCTTGTGGTCTCTCGGGAGCTCTCCCTCCCCATCGTGCCAACAGCCCCGGGAACACACAGCGCTTCCTTCTTCTCCACTATCTTTAGTCCAATCTCCTCCAGGGCATTTCGGCATTGAATCAGATTTAGCTGTGTGAGCTCTGAATTCCTCTCCGACCCTGCCATACTGGGCCTCCGATGAGCTGCAGGACCCCAGCTCCACGTCTCAGGCCCAGAAGAAAGGGTGAGTCATGCTGCCTCTTTGTCCTCCGCAACATTATTGCCCCCCTCCTTTGTAACCATCTCCCCGTCACCACCCTATCCCATCCCAGCTCTGGCCTCTCGGCTGCAGCTACCTCTCTGCCCAGGGCACTGAACCCAGCCCAGGGACTGGGGGCAGCTAACCAAGGCCGTGAGTGGCCCTCTTCCTCTGGGATCAGCTGAGGGCAGCTATTCGAGCTGTCATAGCCTGACAACCTTCACTCTGTGGCAATGGCCCAGCTGCCTCAGTTTCCCCTGAGTACTAGGTTGAGGCAGGGGCCTCCTGACAAAGCAGCTCCCATCCCTGCCCCTTGTGTGGTTTTCCTAGTACACCTAAATGAGATACTTGGATTAGATTTCCTGCTCAGACCAGGAGTGAAGTGCTCACATCTCTGCCCCATTGGTCCCATAAGGACAAAGGGGCTGGCCCAGACAATCTCGAGTCTCTTCTAGTTCTCACATGGCACGATCCGTGAATCTTGAGAGCTGATGCTCATAGAGCTCAGGGTGCCCGAGCTGACCTCGCCTCCAGCCACGACTCCACCTCTACTGTGCTAACCAGAGACCACCCACACCCATGCCCAGAAGACGACGAAGGAGATTTTTTTCAGGCTGATGATGAGCTAGACCTGGACATGTGCCACCCGATCCCCCTTCAGGGAGGGATAAGCTACCCAACTGCAGGAGGGCAGGCAGCAGGTGGCTCTCAGCTCCTTCAGGTGCACAGAGCCACCCCACCCAAGGTCACGCCCTCCTGGGGCAGCCACACACTGTGACAGAGCGAGGAGGAAACATAAAGGCTTGGTCATTTGGGTCCAACTCGGCACAACTCGGACGGGCAACCTTACCCCAGAGCTCCTGCTGGGAGGTGTTGGGGCTGCACTGTGGTTGGGCGGTTCCCTCTGCCCAGGCCTGCCTCCCTTCTCCTGTCACAGTGCTGATCCCTAATCTACATCTCATATGCCAAACCCCAAACCTCAGAGTCTGCTTCCGGAGAACCTGCCCTGGAGCAGATGCCCTCCAGAGTTGTCCCATCCTGAGATGGCTGGTGTTTCATGTTTTCACAATGCTTGAGACCCTGAAATCTCGTCCCCTGGGAATTACTCAGGCATTTCCCCCTGGCAGGGGCCTACCATGGAAACCACTTTTTTCCCCCTGTGTGTGCGATATCCGCTAGGTAATCTTCTTCCATTTGCCTAAGAGCTGAATTTCTGGCTGGAAAGAGAGCAGCAGCCAGTGGCGTGCCGCAAGCTGACAAAAAGAAAGGGGAAAGACTCCTCAAGTCTGCTTTTCTAACAACCCTCCGGCCTGGAACAAAGGACACTGAGTCTCTCTTCACGGCACAGTCGGGGCAAGAAGCTTAAAGCACAACAGGCACAACTAACCAGGCTTATTGTACTTACCAAAGATTTTCCATATGCCCGACTCCCACAACGATTTGATGATTTGGGTTCAGAAATCCCCACTGCAAAGTTGAAAGGAGGAGACGTTACTCAGTGGTACTTGGTGTTCTACTTCCCCCAGGTCGGTGTCAATTATCTCGTTAGCTAATCAGTCACAAGCTGGGGATTTCTAAAGGCCTTTGTACCAAGCAGCAGAACCATGCAGTAGGGTTAGGCGATGGGGCAACTGTAGAGGGGTCACCTGCACCCCTGGCTCTCTTCCAGGGGTGCCAGAACTAAGGTCTCACAAAAGCATGTGCGTGGAAGCATTTAGCACTGTGTCTGTGCACAGTAGGTGCTCAGAGAATGTGCCCTTAGCTCCTCCTTCCTTCTTAAGGCCCCAGATCACACGGGGTTATCAGGAGCTAAGTCTTCACATCTGGAATCAGTTGTTTAACCAGGACACCCCTCTGGGAGAATGAGCAGAGAAGTCCTGCCTGCGGTGGGAAGTGAAGCCTCAGAACGTGGAAGGACTGGAGTCTATCAGTCCTGAGACATTGGCCACATGAGATAGATGAACGTGAGAACCTTTTGCTAAGCCTTTGTTCCTGAGGCTCGACCTACTTCTGAGTAACTTCTACCCTGAAGCCTGCAAGTTCTGGGAATCCAGGTGTGGGGCTGATATAGCAGCAATAGGTGGGGGAACGTTAGATTTCAACAGAGTCCTCTCCTGGGGCAGGCGTTCCAGGAAGAGCCCCGTCCTATCACATTACAGCATATTGAAATAAAACACTCCCCCTTCCCTGGAAAAAATCCCAATGCCAATAAAATAAAAAATGACGAGACTATCAATATTAACCACAGTGTGCAGTGCTCTGGCATAAGTAAGAGGTCATGTTTGAGTATCTACTGTGCATCAGGCACTGTGCTGAGTGTAAAACACAAATACTGTCTCATTCAATTCTCACCTCAACCCTAACAGGTAGGTATCATGATAGTCCCTACTTTCTAGATGAGGAAACTGAGGCTTTAGAGATACATAAGGAGTGGGATGAAGCCAGGTAAAGATGACCTAGGGAATGGCAAACTGACCTCTTTGGTGGTCTTGCAGAGCTGGGGAAACTTGACTAAGAGACCCCCTAGCCCAGTCTGGGAGGAGTTTGCCAGGTGGAAAGAGACAGGAAGGGCAATCCACAGAGAGAGCAGTGTCAGTGAAGGTCCAGGGAAAGAGAATATAATGGAGTAGTCACAGAATTCCATCGCAGCTCAGGGTGGCTCTGTCTATGGACAGGAGTGTCACTGGAGGTGGCCCCAGGGAGGTCAGCAGAGGACAGGTCCTGGAGGGTCCTTGGGCATGGTCTGGAGGGTGGTCAGGGGTGGGGAGGACACAGTGTTAAAGCAGAGGGACAGCAGAGGCAGATTTCTGGTTTAGAAGACCCCTCTGGTGGCCTTGTAGAGGGAGGGGGACTGGTGGCTGAGGGCCAGGGTTGGCTGCTACACACAAAATGAAGGAAGTATGAGCCCAGGTAGCCTGAGGTAGGTACCAAGCGGGAGAGATGAGACATATCTAGGAGTTGACACTGTCAATGTTTGGTGGGTGGAGTGTGGATGGGGTAGGACGAGGGGGTGTTAGGGAAAAAATCCCAGTAGCTTGCTGGAAAGATGGATGGTGGCCCCAGCTGAGAAGGAAGAGAGGTCTGAAGGAGGAAGATGAGTTCTGTTTGAACAAGTTGATTCTGAGGTGCCCAAGGACATCTTGGTGGAGAGATTCTGCAGGCAGCCAATTATCCCAGGCCCAGGAGGTGGGGTGGCCCCTTTCCAGGCACTTAAAGCTCATTGCTCAAGGCCTCACTGTGAGGGAGTTTCTCAGCTGGGCCTCTGCCTTCAGAGTCTCCGCAATTTCCAAGATTCCTCAGAGAATCCTTCTCCCACGTGAGAAAGGCTACAGTATCCTATAGCTCAGAAAAGAAACAAGTACCCATTTCTGAGATCCCCGGAGACACACGCCCTTCTGATGGGAGAATGGAAGACTTGGCGCCAAGCCTTTCCTGTGGAGAGCACTGGGGTCTAGCCTTGACTCAGAAACCCTCCTGCTCTCCCACCCCTCTGGAATCTATCAGATTGCAGGAGCTGAAGAAATTGAATCAATGCCCAGTTCAGTCTTTTTTTTTTTTTTTTAAACCTGACTAGCACATTCCCTGCATGAGCTGACTGTCACATGTTGGGCAGATTCTCTCCGTTTCATAACTTACTGTTCTCTTTCAGAATAAAAGACTGACTGGGGCAGTCCAAGCTTCCACAAGCTACTTTGCAAGGGAAGAAAGTGGTCCCTAAAACTAGACAGTAGGGAAGACATTATTCTCCGGGGGGAAGAGGCATTAGCTGGGAAATCAGGAGACCTGAGATTTAATCTCATTTCTGTTACTAATGAGCAGTGTGACCTTGGGTAGGTCAAACAGTTTCCATGGTTTCAGTTGCCTCTTCTGTAAATCGGCAGGGGGTAGTTGCAGTAGATCAGTGGTTCTCTGCCTTCAGTGTGCATTAGAATCACCTGGGGGCTTGTTAAAACACAGATTGCTGGGCCCCACCCCAGAATTTCTGAGTCAATAGGTCTGGGGTAGGACCCAAAATTTGCATTTCCAGCAAGTTCTCAGGTGATTCTGCTGCTCCGGGGACCCTACTTTGAGAAACACCCATTAGATCATCTCTAAATCCTTGCTAATCAATACGTTGTCTTCAGACCAACAGATCATCAGCATCATCTGGAAGCTAATTAGAACCAAAATCTGGGGCCCTACTCAGTCCTATTGAATTAGAATCTGCATAAAAACAAGATTCCCAGGTGATTCTTCTGCACATTAAAATTTGAGAAACATGGCTCTAAATTCACTTTGATTTTGTAGCAGATATTCTTTTTCTCTTTCTACACACACATGCACCCACCCACCTACCTATATATAGACACAGAAAAAATTATCCCTTCTTAATTTGCAAGGCAGATTGTGGTTTTCCTAATGCTTTCATTCTACATACATATGTGTATATGTAATCACTTAACTAGAGAATATAGCTTGATTTATGTATTCTTATACATAGGATCATAAAATCAGGATCAGGGTGTTAGTGATCAAAGAAACCTAAGAGATCCAGTCTGGCATCTATGAGAGAGAAAAGAGAAGATGGATGGATGAAGGGACGTAGTCAATGAAGTCTTATTTCAGTTCTTGTAACATGCAATATTGACACCCAAAAGCTTTGAGAAGGACATCCCAGACTTGCTATTGTGTGTTTTTGGAGTTAAAATATGAATAACTTTAGTCTGTGGGCATAACAAAAATAACCTAAACCAGCAATTAAAGGCAAAATACCATCACAGGCTTCAGCAGGCTGGATGCAGATTCCCGTTTAACTGCTTGGAGTGGAAGCCATTTGCAAAAATAATGTTGAAGGTAAAACTATGTTTCCAGCTTTCAAAACAAATTTGTCCCTAAATTCTTTTTATAGATTGTTGAAATAGCCTAAGTCATGCAAATTTAAAATGGTGAGATTTTAAGATGGCAGTTGATGAAGAGCATGCATAATTACACACACACACTGCCTGTAAAATAAACAATGTAAGTTTCCTTTGCTTCATGAGTCATGTCTACTCTGGTTTTCTCTCCCCCAGAACACACTGATTTTCTTCTCCTGAATCCAACAGGGTTTCCTGTGGAGCAAGATTGTAGATGAAAGCACCTTTGCTCATACCCACACCCAGAAGCCAGTGTTTCATGGGTAGAAGGTGTTTTGTGGTGCTGCCCTAGGTGGGGCCGGAGAGCTGGTGCATTCAGGGTAGGAACAGCATGGATTTGGGAAAAGCTGTAGTCCCCACGCCACAGGTGCTGCGCTCGCCTGGCGTGATGGAGGACGCCAGGGAGGACCACCACCGTGGTCCACGGTATTTTGCCGTGGGACAAAATACGGGCCCGGATGCACACACTGCGGCTGCTGCTCTAAGTGCGTCCCTGCCCCCCAGCGAGGTTCCCGGGGCTCGGGCACGTACCAGGTCTGGCCGGGGTTTTCGCGGGGTGGGGTCCCTGCGGCCGCGCGCTCTGCAGCCGGCCCGACCTGCGGCCGTCGCCGTCCCGGCGCTCGCTGCGGTGCGGCAGCAGCTCCAGGGGCCGGGGCGCGTAGAGGTCCGACTCGATCACCACCTGCCGGAGGAGGAAGGACAGTCAGCTTGTTCTCGCGGATCTCAGGAGCTACGGCTAGGCCCAGGACTGCAGCTTTGCGGATGGACCGTGTGTTGACAAGGAATTGTCGGAGCCCTCCTTACTCCATTGAATGTCAGGGGCAATGAGGGAACTTGAGTAAACTGGCCCGACAGTTAACTGTTTCATGTAACTTCAGCATGTCAGATGGTGCCATGGTGCAGGAAAGCGAAGGTTCCGGGGTTCCTCACCAGCCGTCCCTTCACAGAGTCAGGAGCCTGGGCTATCAGATCAGAAATCCAGGCTAGTCACCTGCCCCCTGGCCTGACGTGGTTTGACAACAGGACAGTCTATTTGAAATGAAGACAGTCCTGGAAACTGGGGTCTTACAGGCTTTGCAGCCAAGTGGATGCCCTCGTTCAGGCAGAGGTCAGCTTTTTGTATGCTCTGGCAGAGGGAAGACCTGGGGAGAGGACTCAGGCTCCAAATGATGGCCAGGTTTTAAAAAGAAAGAGGCTGCTGGCAAGACAGCAGGCATTTTCCTCCACCTTGCAGAATGCCTGTATCAGGGCGGGGCTGGGAGATGGATTCCACTGGGTGTGTGGTTCAATAAGTGGAAATCCGGTGAGCCAGAACAGAGTGCTAGATGGATGGTAAGGGCTTTTTAGTAATGATCACCTGCTGGGTAGTTATTTTGGGAAGTACATTAAGGGGACATACCTCTTTTGCCAGGGCCCACTGAAAAGGGCCTTAAAAGTTATAATGAAAATACTTAAATCATTGAAATAATTTAAATGTAAAAACTTGAGACAAATAATACCGTATTTTATCTTAATACCAGGAGCGATGAAGGGAATCTTAGCAGTTTTTGCCTCTCATATCCTGCATGTTTTTTATACATATTCATGACACGGGGGTCATTCATTCTGAATGTCTTCACTCCTCTGAAGCTGTGAGAACCTCCAACACTGCAGCTGCCCTGAGGTTTGCATTTACTCGCTCGCTCCTTCCTGCCGCAGAAATCCTGGGAGGGCATGTTCTGCGCTGGATCCTGGGCCCACGGCGCATCTGTGAGTGAGATTGACCCATCTCAACCCTCACAGTCCAACCTCTGACAGATCCTTCTCAGTTGTCCACATATAACAACTGTATTACTTTTGGAGGATGCTGAAGCAAAAAAGACTGAATTTTCAAATATTATAATAGGGTGATATTTCAATTGTGTGGAGAAAAATTGAATCTTTAATAAATATTGTTGGAATAAATGTCAGGCCACTGGGGGAAATGGATCCCTGTCCACACTTCTCATACCAAAATGAATACCAGACAGGTCAAAGATGCATGTTAAAACAAAAAACAAACTCTACAATTGAATACGGCTCAATATAACATGTGTTACATATAATGGGGAATTATCTCTAGGTACATAGAACACTTACAAATCAATAAAGAGGAAAAAAATAGAAAAATGGGGCAAAAAACATGAAGCGGCAAATGATGGTAGAAATACAAATGGCTAGTAAACATGAAAAGATGCTGAATAACATTCATAATTAAATAAATGCAAATGAAAACAATAATTGTTTTTTTTCCTCCTATCAGATTGTCAATGACCAAGAAGATAACCCGTTTGGGTTCAGGCAGACCTGAGTTCAAACCCCAGTTTTGACACTTGGCAGTTCCGTGGAAAGGGGATATTCCTGTCTGCCTTGCTGTTTGGGGGTAGAGTAAACGCCGGTCATTAGTTTACTCTAATTACTCTATTAATTAGTAGAGATTTTAGGAGCACTTGCTACTTGCTCGTTCTCTTCATGCCACCTGTTGATCTACAGCATCTGAGAGCGGCTCATGTCTCCACAGAGGAAAGTAAGAGGAACTGTCACTCTTGGCTTCAGTTGACCACAAATAGTCCTTTGCTTAGAAAATTAAGATAGCCCAAATTCGGTCTTATCTGTTTTAGGAAATTAACTCTTCTTAGGCTCGTTTTAGGACCCAGACTCATTCATTCTTTGGGGAAAGCTGATAATTCAGGAGCATTTAGGATTCGCCCCCTTTCTTCTCTGGGCACCGCAGACGGTGGTGTTTCTGTGTTCAGCAAGCCTTCAGTGCAGGCTGGGGGCAGCAGCCGTCCACCCCCCACCCCCCGCACCCCCGGCTGCCAGCTCACTGGGAGCCGAGATGCGCAGCATGGGTGGTCTGCAACTCACTGCCCTGCACATCCGTCCCCTCTGCCCTTCCCCCTTCCTTCCTTCCTCTTAGCATTGAGCTCTGCCGTGATGTCACCTAGAGTACTGGAATTTCCTGGATTAATGGTGGTTTGGAGCCCCGTTCCCCTGGACACATGTGCTCTTTGGTTTAAGGGCCCTCCTCTGGACTGTGAATCTCCAGGTTGAACAGGAAAGACCTGAGTCTCGTTTCTTGACACTCATAGTGGTGTCTTTGCTGTTGACCTCCCGTCACAAGTATTCCTGATTTTATTTTCATTCTCTCAGCATTCCTCTAAGGGAGGGGGAGTGAGGACTGGCGTGTTTTCAGACCCATTTTGTAGAAGGAGAAAGTAAGGTGGAATGTGGAAGCCTGAGGAGTCCATGGGGGTACCTAGCATTTTCTCCTCTGAAAGGGAAGAAATGTTTCCTTTCAGGAACAAGAAACACCACCTCTGCCATCCCTTCTCTGCATTGTGGCAGGGGGGGCGGGGGCTGGAGATGAGGCTGGTTACTTCCCAGGTCATGACTTAGGGTTCACTGTCTCTTCAGGGTATCTTCTCCAGTCCCCCGCAGGATGCCAACAGCAGAAAAGGAAAGACAGGGGGGCCCAGCTCGGAAGATTTCCCTCTCATAGCTGGCCTTGTACTTGGTTCTCATTTCCCCCGGTAACAGGGGCTCTGAGAGGGTTCCAGGGCAGTGTGTTAGGCCCACACCAGGGAGGGGATAGCTGAATGGATAGTTGTGGCCTCCTGAGAGCCTGGTTTATTTTCTGGTCTGTAGGACACAGTCCGGGCTTGCTGCTGCTGGTTTTAGAACAAAATGATCTGAGAGCAGGCTCTTTAGCATCCTGAGTACAGGGATAAGATTGGGGAACTGGGGTGGCGGGGGGAGGGGTATATTAAAAGCGAGGGAGAAGGAGATACAAGGGTTTAATGTTGGATTTTTCTTTCCTAGGTCAGCAAACTGCCTGCTGAAAGCAGGGGAATGTACTAGTCAACAAGCCTCACCACAATAAATTGATGCTTCCCTGCTGGTCTCAGGTCAGAGACAGGAAGAACAGAAGACACGGGCTAACTCACAAGCCCAAGATTCCATCCACTGACTCTTCAATTCACACTTCTGTTTGTTTGCCAGTCTAGGGGGCTGTTAGGAAGTTAGAAAGAGAGGTGAGATTTAGGAGATGGAGAATCATCGTGATTTTGGGCTGATGGGATCCATAGCAATGTTCTAGCCCAACTCCCTAATTTTACACATAGGGAAACTGAGGCCAAGGGAGGCCTTTTGTCTTCAAAGTCACAGAGCTATAAGGGGCAGAGCCAGGGCGAGAACTGTAGTTTCATGACTCCTAAATGAGTGCTCTTTGTAAGACCCACAGAAATGCCTACATTCAGACAAGAACTTTCAAGTGCAATTGATTGCTCAGTGCATTTTGAGAAATCAGATGACCAGACAAATCCCTCCTCCACAAGGTTGAAATCTGGGGAGAATGTGACATTTGCAGTCTCATTTCTCCATCTTTCCTGATGATGGCCCCACTGCTAATTATGAAGGGGCTCTGAATCACAGAGGCAGTGGCCTCAGTGGCAGGCCTGACTCGCGCGTTAGTGTGAATTTATTCCTTTGAGGTACTCTTATGATGTTGGTGGCGTCAGGATGATCAGGACGTCAATAAAATTGCCTAAGAATCCAAGTGGTGAGGAGACCAGAGATACTGTCTAGAGAAGGAACATTGTGTGGCTGCCCTGGGTTCAGAAGAATATGTAACTTAAGAGGAGTCCAGAGTGGGAGGAAACTGTGACACTAAAGATGATTCAGAGATGAAAGAGATATTTCTAAAGGAAGGAACCTGACATCCACATGGTAGCCCAGGGAGTGAGAATAGACACAAATAAGAATTTCAGGACAGAGAAAGTCATAAACATTGGTATATTAGAGCAGTTGCGAAATATGAATAATTTTCTCGGGAACTCAAAGGGAAGCCAAGAGCTAGTTGAATGAGGAAACAAGATCAGAGATAATTCTTTCTTCTTTGGGACTCACTTTCTTCATCTTAGGTGGACTAAGAGACCCTTCCTGTCTTTTCTAATTTGAATGTTCTGTATGGCTGAGCCCGAGTTTTACAAGCAAAGGATGAGTCAGGCTGTTAGGAGAAATCAGACATTCAGAGGAGAGCTCAAAGGCCAGATGGCTTTATTAAGCTGTCTCACCTGGAGGAGGATTACATATTTGAAGACAAGACCCTAGCTTCTGATTTCTCTTTTTATCAAAAGCAATTTATATATATATATTCATATACTTGAGTCATTTTTTTCCTCTGTGTAAAAATATTTTAGAGCGGGAAAGCCATAAACCATAAACATAGTTTTTCTCAAAAATTTCCACTCCCAGGAAACCTGAGAGCATGGTTCTACAGCGCCTGGTTGGCGTCGATTGGATATTCCAGGAGGTTGTGCCCCATGTTTTGGCGGCTTTGTGTATCTCATGCCCATGTGGCTTCACCTCCACCATTGAGAGTTATCTCCTTTGTTTAGGTTCTAAATCCCCTGAGAAGTTTCTTCCCTAGAACCCTATATAACTACTAGAAAGTATAATGATTTGGTTTCCATTTTAAAAGCTTTTACAACTACCATCTGTCCTTATAAAGCCAGTAAGTATTGGTATAAGGAGTGATTCAAACAAGAATATTGTTTAAGGTTAGAAATTCAAGGCAAGGACTTGGTTAAGAACTAAATATTCCCGATTCCCAAGGGCTCTTCCCTGAGTCATGAATGATTTGTGGTTCCTTCGAACCTCGAGTGATGCCAAACTCAAGCCCTTGACAGAAAGGTCTGTTGTGAAACTTTTCTTAAACTCTAAATTACCTACAAACAACCCCTTCCTTTTCCATTTTTGGTAACACTCACTGCTCCTTGAAAGTCAGGAGCATTTTCCTTCAGGACTGTGGGCTTAAGTTTTTAGGGACCATGAGAAAGATAAGAATCTCTTGCCCTATAACCAAGAAATTTTCCATCCATTAAAAGCCCTTCTCTTTCTTATGAAATATTCTCAAAAGTCACTAAAAACAAGGCATACAAGTGACAGAAAAATGGGCAAAAGACATGAGTAAGAGACCCGAAGGGAAAAAATATTAAAACCTATGAAAAGATGAAGAATAATATTATTAATTAAAGAAATGCAAATTAAAACAATAAGATATTTTTACCTATAAGATTGTCAAGATTAACAACATTGACACCATACGGTGTTGGCTCCGTTGTTCTGGCAAAGGTACTTTAAAACATAATTGCTAGGAATTTGGTAATGGCTATAAAAGTTTTTCCATGTTCATGTCTTTTGAGCATTTTCATTTTTTTAATTGAGGTACAGTTGACATATAACATTGTGTAAATTTAAAGAGTACAATGTGTTGATTTGATGACCCAGCATGTTCATATCTACGAATTTATCTTCAAAAACATTTGCATAAGGGCATAAAAAATATGTTGAAGAATATTTCTTGTGGCATTGTTTTAGTAGAAAAAACGGAGAAACCCCCTTTATTGATGATTTGGTTACATAATTAATCTAGAAAACTTCAGATCTCGTTTGGGTAAAAAAGTATAGTACATTCACACAATGGCTTCCTTTATCCTCAATAATGGATGGGATAGATCTGTATTATCCCATTGGGTATGTAAAGATGTTCAAGATTTGTTGTTTAGTGAAAACAACAAATTGCAAAACAGTATGCTATCAAACGGCAAAGCATAATAATTATGTGTTAGTATACGGGAGATTTTCAGCTAAAAAAATGCCAGTGCTTTTTAAATGCTCAGTATGTGTCAGGCTGTGGACCAAGAACTTTACATGTATTAAATCATCCGCTCCTTCCAACAGTTCTGGACATATATGCTCTTATTACCCCTAATTTAAAGCTAAGGATGTTGAGTCCCAGAATGGTGGGGCAACTTGCCCAAGGTCGCAGAGCTAGCAATGAATAGACCTGGGATAGAAGCCCAGGCATTTTAACTCTAAGTCTACGTCCCTAACCGCTATGTCCTATAGCTTCTCAGGACTTTCTGATACGTTATTTTACGTTTTTGTAATGTTTGAAATTTTATAAAGGGCACATACTGCTTTGGGAATTTAAAAAGTACTAAATGTGTATTAAAAAAACAATGATTAAAACCCTATCTCATTCCCAGGACACTTAAAAAATATTTTTTTAGGGCCGGCCCTGTGGCTTAGAGGTTAAGTGCGCGCGCTCCACTACTGGCGGCCCGGGTTCGGATCCCGGGCACGCACCGATGCACCGCTTCTCTGGCCATGCTGAGTCCGCGTCCCACATACAGCAACTAGAAGGATGTGCAACTATGACATACGACTATCTACTGGGGCTTTGGGGGAAAAAAATAGGAGGAGGATTGGCAATAGATGTTAGCTCAGAGCCGGTCTTCCTCAGCAAAAAGAGGAGGATTAGCATGGATGTTAGCTCAGGGCTGATCTTCCTCACCAAAAAAAAAAGAAAGAAATTTTTAAAAAGGCGAATAGGCTTGTAAAAATTGAGATACGTAGAAAATCAAAATGATGTTCCATGAAAAATTGTGATAGAAATACTAGAAACTCCAGTATAACCAAGAGGAAACAATTAGCAGTTAAAATAAGCCTTTTAAATTAAAGTACAAAGATGTATGGACAGCTTTATATAAAGAAATCTATAAGTAAAATGAGAAATTCACAGCATCGTTAGCCTCTAAAGACGTAAACTAATTTTAAGGTAGTGCTTATGCTTATTAAAGTAGCAAAAGGTAATACTAAAAAATGAATGCTGATGTTGGTGAGGGTGGAGGTAAATGGAAAAGCATTGCTGGAAGCCCAGCAATTGTTCAGAATACCTGGTAATATGTGACAAACCTGTAAGCAGAGACCATTTTTTAAAAATCACTATTATGTTTTCCACATCTAACACAGTGTCTGTTACACATAGTAGGAATGCAAATATTTGATGAATGGATGGATGGATGGAACTGTTCTTATCCTTTTACTTGTTAATTCTACTTTGAGGCCTATGCGCCAAGGAATTAATCCAAAATAATAGTATTTTGTACAAATAAATTCATTACATTGCTATTTATAATAGTGAAAAACTGGAACATTACAAATTCCAAAAATAGGAGAACACCTAGATCAGGGATGCTGTACCCACATCATGGATTCTGTTTAAATAAGAAAAAAATGTATATATAAAATGAGATTTACTCTTTGTGTTTGGGGAAAATGGCAGAACAGTGGGGTCCAATTCAGAGCTGTTTGTTGTCTGGTTGACATTTGTCAATTATTTTGGTTAAGTGGAGGACGGAGAATGCAGCAGCAACAGCTTGGGGTACAGAAAACCTTCCTGGTTATTGAGAGCAGGGGAGAGAAAGTGAAGAACCTAGGCATTGCTTTTTAAATGAAAGTCAATCAAAGGGATCAAAATTGAAGTTTCCTTACATTCTTGGTCAAGAGGTGTTGAGAGCTTTTGACTCTTCTTCTGGCTGGACTGGACACTGCAAAGAGAGAGAAAGGAATGGTTTAGAGAACACTGTGAGCCTGATGCAGCTACGGAAACAATACTGAGAGGGTTGGCACCTGAAGTGGGGCAGGGGCATAGAGGAGGGGCAATGGAAGAAGAGGCAGGGTGCAATTTCGATTTTAGATGTCACTTGGTTGAGTGCTCCAAAGTTCATAGCAGCACTATTCACAATAGCCAAAAGGTAGAAACAACCCAAATGCCCATCAGTGGAAGAATGGATAAACAAAACATGGTATATACATACAATGGAATGTTATTCAGCCTTAAAAGGGAATGAAAGTCTGATACATGCTACAACATGGATGAACCTTGAAAACATGAAGCTAGGTGAAATAAGCCAGACACAAAAGGACAAATATTGTATGAGTCTACTTATACATAGGTATCCACTAGATACCAAGAGTAGTACAATTCATAGAGACAGAAAGTAGAATAGAGGTCACCAGAGACATGGGGAAGAAGGGAATGGGGAGTTATTATTTAATGGGTACAGAGTTTCTGTTAGGGATGATGAAAAAGTTCTGGAAATGGATAGTGGTGATAGTTGCACAACAATGTGAATATACTTAATGCCAGAACTGTACACTTAAAAAATGGTTAAATGGTAAATTTTGTCTATATTTTACCACAATAAAAAAAAGCTTAAAAAATCAATTAAACATTAAAAAAAGTTACTTGGTTGAGAAAAGGTGTGTATTTTGTTGAAAATGGAGATACTCAGGCATCTCTTTTCCACATTGCTGCTAGAATGATTTACTTGGAACTGAAATCCCGCCATGTCACTGACCTGTCTAGAACTGAAATGACTTCTTGTCACATATCAGATAGGTGATCAGATGAGGGCTGTGTTGTTTTCTGCAAAGCGCCTGCAGCCCTGAAACTGGGAGTACACGGTGCTGGTTAATAGACAGGGCTCCCAACTCCTTTCACTTGGGAGTGAATCTGACCTTGACCACTTGCCACTTACGTGACTCCAGCAAATTACTCACCCTCTTGAAGCCTCACTTTCCTCATCTATAAGACAGGGATAATAATAGCACCTACCTCAGAGGGCTGTGGCAAGGATTAAATGAACTAATCTTTATAAATATTGGCCCTTGGCCCAGTGCCTGGCAAAGAGTAAGTTCCTGGGAATCATTGGTGGTTATTACGATTTTCCTCTGATGAGGGCAAGTAGAAGGAATAGATGATAACTTCTAGAGCATTCCATTAGGATTTCTCTTTCTGGAGTTTTCTCCATTCCCTCCTGCTGTTTCCCGATTCCCCTTGCCAACCTCTCCTCATTGTTGCTTTTCCCCCAAGAGAAGTATTTTGAATGCTGTGGTACTGTTCACCCTAGAATTAAACCCACTCTCGTGTACCTCAGGAAACAACTTCTGGTACAACTTCTTGGTAAAACCACAGCTTTTATCTTTTGTATTTACTGTGAATTGTGTCTATGAAATCTTTCCCTTAAAGGGCTCACTTTCTTTCTAGAAAGTAAAAATACACATTTGTCTTCAGTTACAGACTTGATCTATGTCCTGTGCCTTTAACATTAAGAAACACCATAACATTTGCTGTTGCCATATTTTCATGAGATATTAAGATGGCTCAGCTAAAAAAATATGTAGATATTAGGTTGAACCCTAACACGTGTGCATATATGTGTGTGTTGGAAAGAGGGATATAAAACAATAAGGAATGTAATAATAGCTCACATTGAGCTATACTAGGCGATGGCTTATTTGACTTTTTCATTCACTCCTCCCAGCAACTCCTCTTCATTAACTCTATTTTATAGATGGGGATACTGAGAGTTAGGGGTCACACAGTTGATGGTGGAACAAGGCCTACACTCTTAACAACTAGGCCACACTACCCATATGCTGAACTTGAGCTTGGAAAATGTTTTGGTCATTGCACATTGAATAAACATGGCTAAATAGTAGCGTCTGGGAAAGCGCATACCAGGGAGGACTGTAACCCTTGTTAGATAAAATCAAACCAGCCTATGTTTCTGCAGTTAGGGAATGTGGGTTACCACTCCCTATCATGAACAGTGACTTAAGAAAAGCTAGCACTGTCTTGTCTCAGGGAGCCCTCTGCTTGATGGCTTTGGAGAAGGCAAGATGGGGCAAAATAAGACATAGGAAGAGGTGGACTTCTTCCATTTATGGTCTAATATAAAATTGCAAATACTCGTTTTCTAGAGAACAACTTCCTGAGCAGTGAAATGTCCATGAATACTGATGAATACTTGGTTTAATTACCAGGAGGTGGCCATGAATGAAGATGGCAAGAAAGGAATATAGGATTAAATATTTATCTTTGACTGAACATATTCATTGCTCTAAATATGGAATAAAAATAGAAATCACGTTGTAAGCAATGTATTTAATGGTGCTTACCACATGCCAGGTACTGTTCTAGATGCTCTTTGTATTGATCTATATCTCATTTTTTCCCCATAATTACCCTGGGAGGTAGGTTCCAGTTCTCCCTTTTACAAAAATAGAAACTCAGGCTCAGAGAGGTTAACTAGCCTGCCCAAGGTCACACAGTGCAGAAGTGGCATCAGTCTCTTGACCACAATACTCAGCAAATGGAGTCAAATGCCCTGTTTTGAATGATTTCATTCAGGTGAAGTGTGACATTGCTCCTGAATTGCATACTAAGTTTTTAATTAAAAAGGCCATTTGGTTTTGCATTTTTTTCTCCCTTTAAAAAATTTTTAATGCAAAAAATTACAGAAAATAGATATATTTTAACATTTTCACATTTGCTTCCAATTTGTTTCCCTCTCATATAAAAGAAATTAAAAATGAGAGGGCAAGTTTAGGTCCCTTTCTACCCTCCCCTAATTCTACTTCCCTCCCTCCCCAGGCTACTAAGATCACTAATTTTATCTGTATCTTTCCTGCCTACATTTTCATGCCCTTCTCTGGACATGTATCCATAAACAATATACAGTATTGTTTTGCATTTCCAAATTTAATAATTGTTATCATACATATATAATTTTTCAGCCTGCTTTGTTTTCACCCAACGTTATGCTTTTGAGATCTATGTCCATACACAGGGATCTAGTTCATCCCTGTCGACTGTTGTGGAGTATTCCATAGTATGATGACACCGCATTTTATCCCTTCCCCTCTTCAAGGACACTGAGGTTATTTTCAATTTTGTCCTCATAGAATCAATGCCACTGTGAGCATCCACGTGTAAGACTATTTAGCAGGAAGTGGCACTGCTGGGTCAGAGGATCAGCTTTGACTTTCCAGGTACCTTTCAGAGTCTCCAGAGAGAATTCCAACTCATACACGTGGGCAGACTCCTAGCTCTTTTCTCTCTCTCTCTATCTGGCAATAGATGTCTAAAGCTTTGTTTATGTTCTGCTGGCTGTCTCTTTGTGGCCAGGCTGAATCTCTCCCTTCCCCCCTGAGCAATGGCCCTGTCGGTGGCTGACACGGGAAGAAGAAAGGAATTGTTTGAACGGGGGTCATAACACCAGCAAACATCCAGCCCCCTTCATTCAAGTCTGACAATGAGACCAGGGGCTAAGCCGGAGTCCCGGGTTCTCCCAGCAAGACAGGGGCTGCAGCCAGAGAAGAGAGGCAGCAGGAGTGAGGGCCAGGCTTGGGAGGGGGCAAGGGAACTGTCCAGTAACCAAACACCTGGAGTAGACTGAGCTCTCCCACAAAGCCCTTGCCAGGACTTGACACCATTCACCTCAGAGCACGAGGACTTACAAAGTCACACTTTTCGGCAGTGCTAGTTCCAGGTTAAGTTTGAGGGCATGGCCCTGGGGTCTGTGTAGAGGCCAGCCTGGGGTCAGGGCATTATTTGCCCACTTCACTAGATTTCAGTCCACTGTGGGGAGTATTTCTCCTCGCATTTCAGGGCACAGTTAGAAATCATACTTTTGAGCCAGCTGGTTCTCATTTCAGAACGCACCTGCTCGCTGGAGAGGAGGAAAGAATCTATCTAGCTGCCCTGGGAATTTTGTTTCCATCTCCGTTTCCTCAAACAATGGGCTTGCTGTCACTGTCATCGGCATATTGGATTCCCAGTATTGAATTAAGTGAAACAGGGAATATTTAACTGCCCTTATTTTCCCCTGGATGGATTGTTTCTTGATAATTGATGTTTATCCATGTGCCTCCTTTTCAGACACAACAACGGCAGCAACAAATACCATCAAACCAGAACGCATCAAACCTCAGAGACCCGCGGGTAAACGGTAGTAAAACAGCACGTGAGGTCCTCACCCTCCCGCATACGGTGCCACAGCAAGGAGACAGTCAAGGGCAATTTTACTCACCCTTGGAAGGAATCACAGTGGTGAAAACTTCGATATTTTCATCACTGCAGCTGTAAATCTGATGCATCGTTTCAGCCTTCTCTCCCCAAAAGTGCCTGGGAACCGGAGGCCCCTGTTTGAACCCCTAGTCGCGACGTTTCCTAATCCACTCTGGCTCCGGGATCATTGTGCAGGTCCACAAAAGACAGGCTGGGGCTGTGATCTCATCTCATTCCAGAGTCTTCACTGCAACATTTTCTAATCCCATCTGTCTTTTTCTTCTTCTTCTTCCTTTTTTTTTTTTTTTTATGAATCCTATTATTGCAAACCTTTGATTGAGCGTGGAGGCTTCAGTCCCCTCCCAGCCAGGACGTATTTAACATTTTTATTTTGCCGTGTCTGCCGCAGTGAATTTGGAAGTCTTTTGTGAAGTGATGATGAAGTGAAATCGCCTACTCGGTTAGCGCCGAGCTTGGCTGGAGACTTTCACCGAAAAGGAAACGTGAATTTTGGTCCCAGCAATTCTCCTTTTCATTTCAGAAATAAAGGGGCTTTTTTTTTTTTCCCTCCACAAGAACTGGATATTCAGTAATTTGTCATGTGTTAATTTGGCTTCCTTCAAAGTTTCTATTTTAAACAAAAGGACTGTTTCTCCAGAGCGTTTTCTCTCCATGCCAGTACAAGACAAGGCTGACATTTCTAGAGAGCTGTGTGCTTAGCATCTTCTGGTACAACCTTCAAGTGCTGGCAGGGATATGGTAACAAGTAGTGTCCCGATACTCAAGGTACCCAGTTATAGGAAGGTTATATTTTTATTACCATAAATATTCTAATATATATTATCCTATATATATAGGATATATATAGCTCCTATATTTTAGGCTATATATACATACACAAAAATAGGGTATGGTTGAAATATATAAGCATTATGTCAAACCCACTATCTTTCATTATACCATTACAGATTTACTTCTTCATATTGATAATGATGATGATGATTGATAATTGATAATAATATTAATAATGATAGTTGGCATTTGTTAAATGCTTGCTAAGAGCTAGCAAGCCTGATATATAGTGTCATTTAATGTCTACAATCACCCAATGAGACTCTTAGTTTTGCCATCTTATAGGTGAGAAAACTGAGGCATGAAGAGACCGAGTAACTTGCCCAAGATTAAAATACCTAGTTCATGACAGAATTAGGATTAGATCCCTAACTTGACTCCAAAGCCAATGTACTTGACCACTAAATTATACTCCATTCTTTACCTCCAAAGCCATCCCCCCTACTTTGAACTAGGGGGGACCTGAGCCCTAATCTCTTAGGCTTGGACTTGGCATACATTGATATTCTATAATAGACAAATTTGGGGCATTTGCTCATCAGGTAGTCGTCAATATTGCACTGTGTCTCTGAGAATTGTTACCCAGCCACAGAGGATGGTTCTGGGAAGCCATGTTTGTTCCACCTGAATTTGTCCCTTTGGCCACATTTGATTGAACCAGAGTGGACACCTGACACAAACTGCTGTCTCCTGGAGACAGAAATTGGGCCAGAGGGAAGGTGTTAACTCTCAATATCTGGTGTGGCTCTCAGGGCCAATGGGGGTGAAGGTGAGAGGAAACCAGTGGAAGTAAATGGAAGTGCTGGTCTGGAAGGGGCCTGGGATCTGAATGCAAATCTAGGGTAAAGAGTTTTAGCTGGGGGAGGGGAGCAGGTACTTTCACCTTGGCCCACACATGGTGGGTCTGTGGTTACGTGCACACTTGTGAGGGACAGTGAGAGGGTTAGGGGCTTGGAGGTCAGGGGAGTGTTGGGAGAGTGAGGGGTGGGTGTGGTGGATTGAGAAAGACAGAGCATAAAGAGGCAGAGATAAGGGAGGGAAAGAATACTGCCCTGGCTTGATGGTTTCCCATTTCCTGCCTTGTCTCTCTCAGGCCTAGTGTCATTGCTGCCTTGTGGTCAATGAGATACCTCAGTATCTATCTGATAAATTTCCTTTTTGCTTACATTTAAGTAGGTTTTGGTCATTTTCAGCTAAAAGGAGTACTATCTAAAAGAGATGTCTATAAGTTTTATAACTTCCACAGTGATTAAATTTTTAGATACTATAAAATTTAGAGGAATATCTAGTGCAATAGAAAGCAAGATCCAACAATATGTTAACAGACTGAAATTATGTTAACAGACTGCAGGTAATAAAACCTACGAGATGAAATTTAACAAATCTAAATGAAAACGTCTACTTTTACGTTTAAAAAAATTTAACTAAGTACAGAATTGGGGTGACCTGGTTTAGCAGCAATTTATTAAAAAGAAATTTGGGGTTTTGGTTAACCACATGCTTCATGAGAGGCAACATTAAAGGGCAGGGCCTAAAAGACACGAATGTGGTTTCAAGGACCTGATACTAAATTGAAATTAAGAACATTTGGGGCACCCAGAAGGCAACCAGGGTTACCTGGATTTAATCTTAAGGGGTCAGGCTGGATTAGTTTTTTTCTAAGAAAGCCCAAACTTAATCAATTACAGTATATTGTATCATGTCTAATGAATAAGCCTGAAACATATAACTAAGTGGGCTACTGTAAAGAAACACACCCAGAGAAAAGCAATTCTTAAGAAATAATTTTTACCTGTTTGAAATATATCTTAAATAATAAAATAATACTTGCTTATGGCAAAAAATTCAAGAATTGTAGATGAGTATACAGAAAAAGTGAAATATACTTCCCCATTCTAGTCTCACTTCCTAAAAGCAATCATTGTTTACAGAATGGTGGGTGTATTTCTAGATTTTTCATGTATATATATATTTATATATAATTTTATAAAAATAGAAATGGAGTCATAATACACATACACACACATAGACACATTCATTCACGTGTGAACATATATATAGTTCCCATGCTTTAAATAGATGAGCAGAAGACCACTGCATTATAAGAATTTATCCACTCCTTTCTTTTTTTTTTTTTTTTGGTGAGGAAGATTGGCCGTGGGCTAACATCCATGCCCGTCTTCCTCCACTTTATATGGGACACCGCCACAGCATGGCTTGCCAAGCGGTGCGTCGCTGTGTGCCCGGGATCTGAACCGGCAAACCTCGGGCCTCTGCAGTGGAGTGCCTGCACTTAACCGCTTGCGCCGCCGGGCCGGCCCCCCTATCTACTCCTTTCTTGATAGACCTATAGCTTATTTCCATTTTTTAAAATTAGTAGCAATGCTGCAAAGAACATTTTTATATATTTATCTTCATATATATCTTCCAGCATTTTTGTGGGCCACACTTCTAGTTGTGGGAGTGTGGGTCATAGCATATGCATGTTTAAAATTTTGAAGGATTTTTCTGAATTGCCTTCCAAAAATCCTGCATCAGTTGACATTTTCACTGACACTTTCACAATTGGGTATGAGGGGTTTATTCCCTACACGCTTGGCAATACTTGATATTATTAATCTTTTAATTTTTTGCCCACCAATCCTGTTTGGCTTTTGTGCTCTGAGCCCAGAATCTTGATCACATGGACAGTTAGGGTGCTCCTAGCTCAGGTTCCTTGTAATCTGTGGAGGAGTGGACGGCTGGGTCCTCATTTTGGAATACAGACCCTATAATCTGTATGCAATAGTAGTATACACCACACCCATGAGTACTGGTGGCGACCCCTGTTCAGGACCAGGCTCATCCTAAGTAAGATAGAGTCTGTCCTGGTCTGAGGTCCTCTTCTCCAAGGTTCTGGGAAGTCACTGCTGAGGGTTCTACACTGTCGGCACGTGGATGCCCACTTACGTCCATTTAAAAGTTTTGCTTCTACAGTTACTCAAAGGGCAGTCAATTAATGTCAGTGGAAGACTTTATTTCTGAACTGTGTGCTCTGCAAAATGTTTGGCTACCTATTTGGCTAACAGGAAGGCCTGAGTGGCACTACCTTTGTGGGAGAGCTCCGGAGATCCACCCTCGAAAAGGGACTGGAAGAAGCCCTCACTGAGGAAGTTCCGTTTAGACTGAAACCTAAGCAATGCTTCTTAGACTTGAACGTGCACAGGAATCACCAGGGGCTCTTGTTAAAATGCAGATTCTGCTTCCACAGGTCTGGGGTGGGGCCTGAGAGACCGAGTTTCTAAGGAGCCCCTGTGAAGCCCAAGGGTCCTGGGGCACACTTTGGGGTTAGAGCAGAGAGTTCATTTAAGGAGAACAGACATTCCTGATCTGGATGTATTAGAATTATGAGGAGCTCAGGTCCCCCACCAGACTATTTAAATATGATTCTCTATGGCCCAGGCATAAGTATTTAAAAACAGCCCTGGTGATGATAACAGCAGCTGGGGACTGGATGGAGCGAGGTGGTTCTCAAATTGTCCCCAGACCGCAGCATCAGCATCACCCGGGGGGGAGCTTGTTAGACATGCAAATTCTCAGGCCCATCTTGCCAACTAAATCAGAAACTCTGGGGTAGAGCCCAGCAATCTGTGTTTTAGCAAGCTCTCCAGGGCTTCTGATCTTTGCTAAAGGTTGGGGACCTGTGATGAACAAAAGCAAGAAGAGTGTTCTGGACAGAGCTCTCCTCCAAGATATGTGGTTCTTAACCCTGGCTGTATATCAGGCCTGCCAAGCAGCTTGAGAAACATCCACAGGCCTGGGACCCACCCTCACTCTTTCTGATTCCAAAGACTGGGAGTGGTTCCCAGGATACGTGGCTTAAAAGCATCAGAGGGATGTGACTTGAGTGGCTTAGTGGAGAGGGGGCAGCCCCCCAACATGAATGTGGCCTATGGCCTCCTCGCTTATACTGTACAGCATTCATCCATTTGTTCCACATTTATCAAACCCCATCGTGTGCCAGACACCACGCCAATGGGATCACCCATTATGATCAGGCACTTTATACATTAGCCCTACAACAACCCCACAAAGTGGGCCTACTACTGTCCAAACTGGGATCAGTCATGACTCCAAAACCTGGTCTCCCCACCATGCCACAACACCAACCTTTGGAGACTTGGGGGGCACCAGACTGTGGGCCTCTGAGAAGACTCTGTGTTTAATCTTCAGTGGTTTATTTTGTGAAATTGGAGATACATTTGTAATTTTAGCAGATATAACATTTTCCTTTCAGTTCCTCTGAGAGAGAGAGAGAAGGTTTCAATCTTTAACTTATGCAAAGTGATGTTTTTGTGTGTGAAGAAGATTCTCCTTATCAGAGGGCAGGTGCTTGGAGCGTGAGTGGTCAGATAAAATACAGGTTACCCAGTTCAGTTTTAATTTAAGAGAAGTAACAAATAGTTTTTCTAGTAGAAGTATGTCCCAAATATTGCATGGGGTGCACTTATACTAAAAATTATTTGTGGTTTACTGAAATTCAAATCTAACTAGGTGTCCTGTATTTAATCAGACAAGCCTATTGGAGTGAGTTTTCTGGCCCCAGTGATGAACATGCTCCATCTCCTTGTGACCAGTGATGCTCCCATGTAAGAAGCTTGCAGCTGGGGCTTGAGTAGGGGCAGAAGA